TTTTTAAGTGGGAGAACTTGCACAATTGGTGGCCGACTAAATACTTTTTTGCCCCACTGTAACTGTGACTCAGCATATGTATCAAAGTTGGGGCTTCTGCTGTGAGTCTGAATATGTCTCCATGAACATTAGGCTATGGGGAGAAGAGTTTATTTTTTTGTAACTTTAAATGAGGGTGAAAAGTTATATTAGCTCATCCTCAGTGTGACAAAGGTTGGAAACCACTTCTTTATTATTGTCTTTGTTGCCTTTTTCTTTTCTCTTTTTTTTTTCTTTTATTCTTTTCCTTTCTCTTTTTCTGCACCTTCTGAACTTTTCTTTTTTCATTTTTCTTCTAGGTTAATTTGTATTAGTTTTTACTGTGTTTATTAAAAACTTCAATAAAATTATAAAAAAACATATGTATCAAAGTTGGTCCGTCCAAATCCTTGCTTTTGATGGCAGCATAGAACAATGAGGAAGGGGAAGAGTTTGCAATCGCATGATTTCTTCCATGAAGAGGCAATAATTAAGGGCCGAAGTCCTGTAATTTAGCCATAAGATGGCAGCAACAGAACTGTATAAAGTGTACTGGTCTAATTGACTGTAATAAAGTGATTGATTGAACTGTATAAAGACCAATATGAACTGTTCCAGCCAACTTTTTTTAATACTCAGGGAAAAGTGAGAAATGCTTATGCCATATAACTAAGAAATGCAGGAACTCCATGTAACTGCGATTGGATAACCACATGTCTCTCTTTTCCCTACTCCTCCCAAAAAGCAGCAGAGTATGTTTCACATGCAGGTCTTATTTATGTAAGACTGGGGTCCACAGCTTGTGACAATGATGCCAAAATGAGATGTATGTACTTCTGAAAGGTTGGAGCTTGCATTGTGACATCACAGTACATATTTCATCAGTAGCTCCCACCCCGCGTGGATGCCCATCCTGGTTTTCTCTTTGGGATAAGCAACATGCAAAGTACGGAAAAGGAGTAAGAAAGAGTAAACCAAAGAAATTAAGATGCGAGGTCAAAAAGAAGAAAGAAAGAAAAAGAAATGTTATTTAAACTCTCTGTGTGAATACCTCTGTCCACTGTTCTGTCTCTCACCTGTCTCCTTTTGAGGAATCCATCAAGTCCACCGAACTATAATTTTCCTCTTCCTTTTGACCCTATTCACTCATCCTTCATCTATTTATTTTGCAATTCAGTTCTCATTCATTCGTTGCATGATCAAATCACCTCAACACACTTTATTTTGTACAGGTTACTCACTTTAGTATTCAATCCAAATCCAGTCAGCACCCATTTCTTTACCCTATTCTTGTTTTACCACATAATACATCCTAAGTACCACTCTTCCACTTGCACTCCCCTTACTAGTTTCTCCTGAGTTACCCAACTCTTACTTTCATACAGATGCACTCTCTTACAGATATTTAACCTTTTTCCATAAATAGACTACAGGTAGTCCCCGCTTAATGACCACTCATTCAGCAACAGTTTGAACTTCCAATGATGCTGAACGAGTGGTACTTATGATCAGTCCTCATAGTTGCAGGCTTTCGCATAATGCCTTTTACCAAGGTAAAGTTAGGGTAGACAAGTTGCCAGCCTCAGCTGTACCCAAGCCATTTGCTGCGTTTCCTCCTAGAGGTGAGGACAGTATCTGTCATCTTTGATATACATTGGCAAAAAGGCCACAAAGGCCATCAAAGCCTGATGTTACCCCAAGCTAATTTCTCTGCAAGCTAGAATTTCTAAAGTGTGCATTGCAGGCCAATATACAGTTGCCTGCTTCCCATCAACTGAGAGTTATGTCCCAAAGTAGGCATCTTTGCATGATGGTTAGTTTAGATGAGGGGGGATTCTACTGTACGTAGCCACCCCCCTAATATCTGAAAGAGCTACTGCAGATGTATTCATTTATTTTTATTTGATCCGTAAAATCCTTGGCTGAAGATGAGAGTAAAATATTTCATATAAATAAGCTGCATATGGCCTAAAGAAATACACTTTTAGATTTCACAGTCCCTCATTTTTATGACCCAAAGACATTGTGTGTTATGACTGTACAGCACAGTGACACCAATAACTTCAATTTTAAAGATGTCTTTGTCACACATTAGAAAAAATCGTTGCCCAAAGATCTGCTTTCACTTAATCCAACTCCCACCGTTAGTTTTCCTGGCAAAAAGTAGCAGCAAAGAGCTATTAAGAATTAGACTAATAACTGAAATTAGACTAACATCTGAAAAGGAGACCTTTAATACTATTATTCTCCTTCATTCCACCCTCCCTAAAAGTGGCCATGACCCGTGTGAAATAATAGGAAGCAAGCAGTATAACGCAGTGCTTTTCCAGCTTGGCAACTTTAAGATGTGTGGACTTCATCTCCCAGAACTCCCCATGCTGGCTGGGGATTTCTGGGAGTTGAAGTCCACACACATCTTAAAGTTGCTCAGTCTGAAAAGCACTGGTATAACGTTTTGCTGAGGGCATCAGAATGGGAAGTCCCAGATT